TGTGTTGATCGGGACTGAAGTGAAAATATCGGATCTTCAGGCAAATTCAATTGGTTTGGCTATCGTTTGTCTATTGATTGCACTTTTCATGCGATTCATTGTGTCGTCGATTGTTGTGTTTGGAGTTGAACTCAATCTAAAAGAGAAGATTTTTATAGCAATTTCATGGATACCAAAGGCCACCGTCCAGGCAGCCATTGGTCCCATTGCTTTGGATTTGGCCAGAGATCGAAATGACCCACAACTTCAAGAGTTGGCTAAATTTGTGCTCACAATAGCTGTCATCTCCATCATAATAACCGCTCCATTGGGAGCCATAGCTATGTCATTGACAGCTAATAAATGTCTAAAAACAGAAGTCAGATCACAATATGAAGATTTAGAAGACAATTGTGTCATTAGACAGACTATGGAGGGAGAGAAAAGAGGTACGACCCCTTCTCAATGATACATCAAATTGAATTCAAACTAAGAGTTTAAAGCCTTCTTAAAAGTCTTACACTGAATATACAGTACAATACGATTTTTCAATTTAATTAAATGTTAATACATAATGTCGTTAGACAGTTAGATATTATGTGGTAGTGTTACAAAATAGCTCTATGTTCATATTTCTGTATTTAGTATTCAGTAACTGAATGATTGTAAAAAATGAGCGATTTATAAAATAATTATATTTTATTAATAAATTTATTATATATACAATAAAATTCAGTCAAAACTTCAGTGAATATCTTACAAATGTATTAAACGTTAAGGAAAGTGTAGAATAGTTAAGAATCTCTAAGACTTANTGAGTCACGTTTTGAACCAATTGTTTGGACTCCGAGTCCAGTCTTCTTTGATTGACATATGTTTTGGCGACTCTTCACACATACAAACAGACAGTCAGTCACTATACTATCACCCAATGGTCTCAATGTCTCCCTCTTACCCATCATTCAAATGGTTCACCAGATTTGCCGTCAAATCCACGGAACTGTCGATCGCTTCCAAGCGTTTAGACTCTGAAGACAATCAACCAATGAATGCATCAGTGGATCAGTTCATCACATCATATGACAGTCAATGCAAACCTATCTCTTCCTTCTTCTCCTTCTGCTTCGTCTGATGTCTGCTTACCATCGAAGACAACATTGTGTCACAACTGATGCCAAACTGATCCCAAGATCACAAACAGTGATATATTGTGTCAAATGTTGTGTTGTTTTGACACTCAATGCAAACAATACATGAAAAACGTCTCGATTTTGAAGCGAATATTCTGTGTCTCAAGAATTGCTTGAATTGTTGGACAACTTCTCAACTCATTTCACATTGAATTCAATTATTCATTCAATTGGATGTGATTTGCAAATAAAATATCTATTTTATTAAAAGACATTTATTTTGTGGTCACTATATATTGAATATCTGATCCCATGTCATAGAAATGCAATGAATTAAGTGCTAATTATTTGAATACTTCACACAATGACTGGATTCAGGAATCACTGAAAGAACTGAAATAAACGATTTGTTTGGCATTTCTGAAGGAATTGGAGGAATGGGTGGCAACTGTCCACAGCTCTGCTAAAGGATGTCAAAACACTTGGGACTCCTCTGTACTATCTCTTGCGTCGGAAACAGTCCTCACCTTCTGGTCACCACTTCTTAGAGTTCCGTTTGTGTCTAACGGGCACTGCCTATGAGCTTAACATTCGTCAGACAAGTAGCCAAAGCCTCCGTGAATGCCATTTTCAAGGATTGGTATCTGAATGGAGTGATTGTGTTGAGAAGGGATGGCATTTTACAACTATTCACTTCATGTCTGATTAATGTCTTCATGAAAGGAGTGGTGACCGATGATGACTATTCTTCGATGACCGATGAGAATATTGTGTTCACCACTGATTTGGTCGACAACGTGGTCATTGTATTACAAAAGCTATACAATTATTAAATAAAAATTGTCATAAAAAGTTATATGCTATGAATTAGCACAGAATATGTGCCAAATTGATTGCACTGTCGAACTGGGAGGTGATCTACTTTGTACATCAGGTTTTGTTTACCGGTACTTCATTTCATGTTTAATATTTTGTTAAATGATACGACAAAATATGCATGGATTATGATATGCCAGTGTTTTTACTGTTTTTTTGTAACAGAATTTCACCCATTCTTATACATAATTTTACTTTTCAAATATATTCAATCTTATTATAAGCAAACACATTGCATTGCTTTAGTGTTTTTATTTATTTATAGTATTGTTGATTCAAATATTTGAAAGATATCAATTTAAGATCACTGAATAAAAGTGAAAAGCATTGAAAAGTTTGAGCATTTCAATATTAGTAATATGGAAATACAGTACACTTCAATAATTGATAAGATAACAGTAGGTTTCAATAAACTTTGTATTACTGTATTGCCTTGGCAATTGTTTCACTTGTAATTATATATTTTATTATATATTAGACTTAATTATTTCTATATTTAATATTCTTAGTTTCAAAACTAATCTTGTCAAATTCCTAATAATTTTTGTTCAATTATTCGATAAAATAAATTCACATAGAATTGTGTCTTATTTTAGTTACTTTCGATATTTAAAATAAGCTAGCAACATTATTAAATTTATTAAATTTTACACTAACGTCTTAAAAACATTTTCATTTTGTGATTGCTCATTTATTATTCTAATATTGATTGTTGTTGTGACAAGAATATGATTTCTCTAAATAAAGTGGTTGTCACCCAATACGTGACCTGTGGGCTCATAATTGTGTTAATTTGGTGCCTAATGTGGAGTATAATAGGAGAAGAGGCACTTCCACCCGACGGATCGCTTTTCAATGTATTGCTAGTGTTTGTGTTGGCATACATTTGCGGACAGTTGGTATCAATCATTCGTTTGCAATTTGGTGCCTAATGTGGAGTATAATAGGAGAAGAGGCACTTCCACCCGACGGATCGCTTTTCAATGTATTGCTAGTGTTTGTGTTGGCATACATTTGCGGACAGTTGGTATCAATCATTCGTTTGCCGCCACTCTTAGGAATGCTGGCCATTGGCTTCACTTTTGGGAATGTAATGGATCTGAATCTCAATCAAAGTTTATCGGCAACCCTTAGATCCATAGCCCTTGTAATCATTCTACTGCGGGCTGGACTTGGATTAGATCCACAAGTGATTAAAAAGTTAAGTGGTGTCTGTCTGAGGCTTTCGCTGATCCCATGCACTGTCGAAGCCTTCACTTTTGCGGCGACTAGTTATCTACTCATAGATTTGCCTTTTAATTGGGGGGTACTCTTGGGATTCATACTGTCCGGTGTGTCCTCTGCTATAGTTATACCCAATATGATTGCACTCCAAGAGAGATGTGAGGGAACAGATAAAGGCATTCCCACTCTACTCATGGCATCGGCCAGTGTTGACAATGTTATGGCCATCACTGGGTTTGGAGTTTGTGTGGGATTGGTGTTTGACACTGGATCATCCATAGTTTGGAGTGTTTTCAAAGGACCTGTCTCAGTGCTCATAGGGGTAGTCATTGGCACAACGTTTGGTCTAATCTTATGGTATATTCCGGATAAATATGATTCATATAAAACATCACCAGATGATAGCAAACTATTAAGACTCTCTCTATTAATATTATTCGGGATGTTCTTAGTGTTTGTGAGCAAATCCGTCGGTTTCGATGGCACTGGACCTCTCGGATGCCTTATATTAGCATTTATTACATCACTTAAGTGGAGGGGAACTCCGTTTTATAATCCAATTCGCGAAGACTTGAAATTCTTGTGGACTATATTCGAGGCCTTTTTATTTGTGTTGATCGGGACTGAAGTGAAAATATCGGATCTTCAGGCAAATTCAATTGGTTTGGCTATCGTTTGTCTATTGATTGCACTTTTCATGCGATTCATTGTGTCGTCGATTGTTGTGTTTGGAGTTCAACTCAATCTAAAAGAGAAGATTTTTATAGCAATTTCATGGATACCAAAGGCCACCGTTCAGGCAGCCATTGGTCCCATTGCTTTGGATTTGGCCAGAGATCGAAATGACCCACAGCTTCAAGAGTTGGCTAAATTTGTGCTCACAATAGCTGTCATCTCCATAATAATAACCGCTCCATTGGGAGCCATAGCTATGTCATTGACAGCCAATAAATGTCTAAAAACAGAAGTCAGATCCCAATATGAAGATTTAGAAGACAATTGTGTCATTAGACAGACTATGGAGGAGAGAACAGAAGTACGACCCCTTCTCAATGATACTTCAAATTGTATTCAAACTAGAAGTTTAAAGCCTTCTTAAAAGTCTTACAAAACCATTTCTCAATTGAATTAAATGCTGGTACAGTATTGCTAATAGACTACATTAACTAGTTAGTTAATATCATATTTCTGTATTTAGTATTCAGTAACTGAATGATTGTGAAAAATGAGCGATTTATAAAATAATTATATTTTATTAATAAATTTATTATATATACAATAAAATTCAGTCAAAACTTCAGTGAATATCTTACAAATGTATTAAACGTTAAGGAAAGTGTAGAATAGTTAAGAATCTCTAAGACTTAGTTTAAGTCGGTTTCAAATATGATTTCTTTGCAAAACTTTGATATTATTACAAAACGCCAACATTTACTCAAATATAGTATAAAACTGAGTCTTAGAGATCAAAAAGGCATACAATTAAAGCATAACTACATTCATAGCTAAGAATATTCTCTCGTTTTGAAAGAGAAATAAAATTCTTATAAATTTTAAATGTTTTTCTTTTCATTAGCCATTAGTTAAGACAATAAATATAATTATATATTCTTTTATACAATAATATAGTTTTAACTCTAACTTATTTATACAGAAAGTATTTAAACAGTTATGTAATTACAAATGAATAATTTTTCATTCAATAATAGTATGCAATCATTAGTTTGCGATAATTAATCGTTGCAAATATACAATATATTTTTTGTGCCATGTATTCAATAATTTAATAAAACTTTGATGAAACAGAGTATTAACTAAATTTGTTTTACACAATATAAGAATTTAATCTAAATATAAACTCATTAATTACTGTATACTATACAGTATTAGAAATGTTTTATCCGACCAAAAGATTTAAGACAATAAAATCTCAATTAAATAAAACAAAAAACAAGTTATATCTAAATAATCATTATTTCTAATCAACTAATGATTTATGAATTAAGTAAACGATTCCAATAAACAATCACTCATTCATGCATTCATTTGGCAATAAATCTGCATTTTTGTTATATTTTTGTTATATTTTTGCACTTATTTGTAATTTACAAATTGTAAAAACCTTTTATTTAGTTATTTATGTATAAGTTATTGTATTTAAAGCACTAAACAATTTGAACTTTTGATTTAAACAATATTCAAAGCATAAATTAATTTCAAACATTCAAAAAATCAAATTAATCCAATTTTGATTTCATAGATTTCAATTATTAGCAAAAGTTTGCCATAAATGAGTGGAAATGAGTTAATAATGTCAAGTTTTAAACGTCTACTACAAAGCAGTGAGTTATCAAAAAATATACAATTAATATATCCTCTGAAATATATTATTCATTTGAACTGTACTTTGCATTCAATCGTACTTTCCTTCGAAAACCTCTGACTTCAATGTACAGAAGTCTTGCCCCGAATACGACCTCTTTATACCTCTGGGCAGACCTCTACACGACTGCAAATCAATTGACTCTAATTTGGGACAACTTCTCAACAAACACTTAATCGATTCGTAGGAAACGGCTGAACCCCTGAGTTGTAGTGTCCGTAGCTGTGACTCCTCTTCTCCCACTTCGCACAGGGATTTCATACAACACGTGACACTCACTTCACTGGTATTCCACGATATGTCCACATCTATCAGCGATTTACTCCACTGTTCACACAATCAATACAAGTGTTTCAATACTATATCAACACATAATCGTGAGTTCAATGGAGACAAACCTTAGTGAAAGCCATCTCGAGGTGTTCGGTGTTGAGTTTGGGACAGTTGCTGACCGACAGGTGCTGTATATTCCAGGCGGGAATCTTGACGAGAGCCCTGTGCGACAAATAGCGGGCGAATTTGCAAATAAAATATCTATTTTATTAAAAGACATTTATTTTGTGGTCACTATATATTGAATATCTGATCCCATGTCATAGAAATGCAATGAATTAAGTGCTAATTATTTGAATACTTCACACAATGACTGGATTCAGGAATCACTGAAAGAACTTATAAATGATTTGTTTGGTATTTCTGAAGGAATTGGCGGAATGAGTGGCAACTGTCCACAGCTCTGCTAAAGGGTGTCAAAACACTTGGGACTCCTCTTGAGTCGGAAACAGTCCTCACCTTTTGGTCACCACTTCTTAGACCCAAGAGTTCCGTTTGTGTCTAACGGGCACTGCCTATGAACTGGACATTCGCCAGACAAGTAGCCAAAGCCTCAATGAATGCCATTTCCAAGGATTGGTATCTGAATGGAGTGATTGTGTTGAGAAGGGATGGCATTTTACAACTATTCACTTCATATCTGATTAATGTCTTCATGAAAGGAGTGACAGTTTCGATGACCGATGAGAATATTGTGTTGACCACTGATTTGGTCGACAATGTGATCATTGTATTACAAAAGCTATACAATTATTAAATAAAAATTGTCATAAAAAGTTATATGCTATGAATTAATTGACCACAGAATATGTGCCAAATTGATTGCACTGTCGAACTGAGAGGTGATATCATCAGGTTTTGTTTACCGGTACTTCATTTCATGTTTAATATTTTGTTAAATGATACGACAAAATATGCAAGGATTATGATATGCCAGCTTTTTTACTGTTTTTTTAACAGAATTTGATCCATTCTTATACAGAATTTTACTTTTCAAATATATTCAATCTTATTATAAGCAAACATATTGCATTGCTTGAGTGTTTTTAAGATTACTGAATAAAAGTGAAAAGCATTGAAAAGTTTGAGCATTTCAATATTAGTAATATGGGAATACAGTACTTGTCAATAATTGATAAGATAACAGTCAGTCATAGGTTTCAATAAACTTTGTATTACTGGATTGCGTTGGCAATTGTTTCATTTGTAATTATATATTAGACTAAATTATTTCTATATTTAATATTCTTAGTTTCAAAACTAATCAAATTCCGTATAATTTTTGTTCAATTATTTTATCAAATAAAATCACATAGAATTGTGTCTTATTTTAGTTACTTTCGATATTTAAAATAAGCTAGCAACATTCTTAAATTTATTAAATTCTACACTAGCATCTTAAAAACGTTTTCATTTTGTGATTGCTCATTTATTATTCTTATATTTATTGTTGTGATTGACAAGAATATGATTTCTCTAAATAAATTGGTTGTCACCCAATACGTGACCTGTGGGCTCATAATTGTGTTCATTTGGTGCCTAATGTGGAGTATAATAGGAGAAGAGGCACTTCCACCCGACGGATCGCTTTTCAATGTATTGCTAGTGTTTGTGTTGGCATACATTTGCGGACAGTTGGTATCAATCATTCGTTTGC